AACCTTGATAGCCAACCAATAATGTAGTTGTAGTTAGATTGCCACTAAGCCTGGTGAATTATAAATTTGGGTAGAGATTTAAAAATAGAATGGAAACATTGATTGTCAATAAAATACAAATTATTATTTCTTTTATTTCCCTTTCTCTTTTCAAATTTCTATTCAAATTCATAATAAACACAGCATAAGGAAACATAGATTGACATTGTTTTATGGATTCAATTCTAGTAGTTTAGACACGAATGTAAAAAAGTAGCAATAGATCCACTTATAACATACGTCAACCTTGAACATGAGTTGCAAATTACATAGTAGTTTTTATAGAGTAATGATATATGAACAAAACAGAGAATTTTCATACATCAATGAGTTTTGATTGCAAAAACCAAATATGATACATTCTTGGAATTCTTCACCTTCTTGTTGATGCTAACTAATAAAAAAGCCGATCACTTTGCTTGCCGAAAATGCCACGACCATATGTTGAAGAGATGAGATCCACAAGGAGGGCAAACTGTAAGGACACAAAAGAAGTGATTGGTAGACATGCTAATTCAGTCACTGGAATAAGTATCCATGCCTTATTGTGGCCAAACACAAGATAAAGTGTGGAACTAAATGCTACGATCATCGTTGTTATGGAGAGGAACAGGGTAACAAGGCCGATTATCAACCTCTTAGGCAAAACATAAAGAAAATCTCCTTCTGCATAGCAAGAAGTGAGAATGGACAAGAACATCAATAGAGAAGTGGTGGATGTGAATAGGGAGATTTCATCTGAAACGATATAGACAATAAATGCCTTTTCTTTTGAGAAAATTGGGAGGCCAATTGTGCCATCGTTGCCACCTGGAACAATGATTACAGCTGCAAATCCTATGGTGGCAATAAGTGTTGCAGCTATTGTGCAGGAGTTTGCAGTGTCTTTCATCCATTTTTCTCCTTCCGCAACTAAAAATTTGTGTTCGCTAGTAAATATCGTTGAAGGAATTTCACCATTTTTGTTCGTAAACACTTTGAAATAGGGATTTACTAATAATTTCTCCACTTCCTGTATGATAGCGATAGATTAGAAATTGTGGAATATATTCCCAAGTTTGATTACCATAGCATTATTGTAAATAAATAATTAATGGAATATTAGAATGGAATGTATTTATTACCTTAAACCATTGTAACTCACGTTGCATTTGCAAAGCTGCACCGGGAACAAGATTGAGTTTGTCATGAGGTGCTACTTGTCCAACCAAGTGCAGCATAGAGTCCCAATTACTATCCCTCTTTTGCATCACAATTTGTTTATACCCACTCATTTGATATATGAAGTTGAAAACATTTTCACAACGGTACAGAATTGCTACTTGAGATATGTTATGATTATCTCAATCCACTATCCAAACATCTTCAGGAAATGATTCAATAATCTCTTCAACAACCTCATGAATCCCTAACATTGCAGGGAAATTTGTTTGTGAGAAATAAAATGTGAGAGGGGTGGTATTTATAGGACTTGGGAGGGAAGAGTTAATTTATATATATATATAATAAAATAAAATAAAAATTGATTGTTGGTGGAATTAACGGTTATATGATTCTTTCAAATTGTTTTGATTTAAATTTTTTACCATTGCACTGACAAAGGGGGTAGGGAACCATTGGGGTCGAGTCGAGCCAGATAGGGAAGAAAATTTCGAGACGAGCTCACGAGATGGGTCACGCTCCATAACACACCAGGGTCGGGCCGGGCTCTAGAACACATATCTTAGGTTGGGTTTAGCCTCGAGCCTAGTTGGGCCTACCTAGGACACGAGTAGACTTGGGGTGTGCCGCGAGCTCGTGGGCCAAATTTACACCCCTATATGTGGGTAGTGGTTATGAGATATATGATTAGTGGTTATGATATATGTGATATTGATTATGAAACAAAGGGTGCTGGTTATGAGATGTGGTTATAACATATGTGGGTAAAGGTAATGAGACATATGATTAGTGATTATAAGATATGCGATTTTGGTTATGAGCATAATGGTATAGTTACAAGTCAAAGGGTGTTTGGTTATGAGATATGTGATTAGTAGTTATGATATATGTGATGTGGGTTATGAGATATGTGGGTAATGATTATGAGTAAAGTGGTGTCAAAGAGTGTTTGGTTATGCTATATGTGTTAGTGGTTATGAGATATGTGGGTAATGGTTATAAGTAAAGTGGTGTCAAAGGGTGTTTAGTTATGCTATACGTGTTAGTGGTTATGAGATATGTGGGTAATGATTATGAGCAAAGTGGTGTCAAAGGATGAGGTTATGTTATATGTATTAATGGTTATGAGTTATAAGATATTGGTTATGTAACTAGTGGTTATGAGATATGTGATGTTGGTTATTAGATATGTAACTAGTAGTTATGAGATATGTGATGTTGGTTATGATCAAACTGGTGTGGTTATGAGTAAAAAGGTGTTAATTATAAGATATGTGATTAGTGGTTATGAGATATGTGATGTTGGTTATGACAAAAAGGTATTGGCTACGAGATATGTGACTAGTGGTTATGAGATATGTGATGTTGGTTATGACTCAAAGGGACTAGTTATGAGATGTGGTTATGATTTATGTGGGTAGTAGTTATGAGATATGTGATCAATGGTTATGCGATGTGTGATATTTGTTATGTTTAAAGTGGTGTTGGTTATGAGATATGTGATTATGATTATGAAATATGTGATATTAGTTATGAACAAAATGGTGTTGGTTATGAGATGTGGTTATAACTAAGTTATGATCAATTTGATTATAGTTATGAAAAAATATGATTTTAACTCATAACTATAAAAAGTGACCTGTTTAGCAGGTCACTTTTAATGATGTGGCTCAATCTTAGCCATTGATTTTTTATGTACCGTACATTTTTTGAACAAAATGTACTATAGACTTTCCCCAGACGGAGACTTGTTAATGTCTTTCATATCTAACATTACACTTTAGTTCACAAATTACAATGAGTTATTAGGTTATTTCCAAATTACATTAAGTAAACCACACATAGAGTAAACCACAAGAGTAAAGTGAAGTTTGCCTAAAAACAAAAATTTAATTCACAAACCACAAGAAGTTATGTGCTTATTTGTAAATGACAAAGGATAAACCAGACATAAAGTAAACCGAGTAAAGTGAATTTTGCCTAAAAAAATATTTATTGTATAAATCATAAGGAGTTATGTGTTTATTTTCAAATAATATGCAGCTAAACCACACTTAGAGTAAACCAAAAAGTAAATTGAAGTTTGCCTTAAAAAAATAGCACCATCATAGCATTATTGAAATTATAAAAATAATGTGTTTTATACATAAAAGAACACTAGAATAACGTAGTTTACAATAATTGCTCCTCAAATTGCCTAAACATCTTTTTCCTCTCTCATGTCTACTAAAAGTGGCAAAGTAGAAGAAAGCATCACTGAATATTCTACACAAAAGTCACCAAAGAATAACCGTTTCTTAGAAGTCCTAAGCACTCTCCCCAAGGATGGATTTAGTGGGCGTCGGTTGGGGCGGGTTGGGTGGTCGCATCCCAATTTTTTTTTTAAAAATTATACATATTATACTAATAATTAGTAAGATAATTATAAATTTAAATACTTTATATTTTCAAAATTTTAGTAATTCGCACCTTCTAAATTATTTACATTACAAAATTTTAAAAATAATTTTCAATTGAATTTTATCAAATATTGATATATTATATTTGTTATATTTCTATATTGTTTAAAGTTACTTGCATTATTTTATTTATTCTATTTGTTACTATTCTTGTTTTCTGTTCATATATCATTTATAATTTTTTTTTCTTCTTTTATAAATTACACTTTAATTTGTTTATACATCTTATTTTTCATTCATTCTTGTTTGTTCATTCTCTATAAATAAGAATATTGTTTGCAAATAAAAATATTTTCTACTTCAATATGACATTCTTAAAATAAGTTAATAAAATTTAATACTGCTTATTGAAATGGATTATCATTATACTCATTAAAACATACATTTTCAATTATAATTTCTTTTCAAAACTAAACTATGTAATAAGATGGAAGATGATTTTGTAGCAAGTTACTTGATCATATTTATTGAGAAATATATTAATTAAGATTTTGATATTAAGTTTATTATAGATGTTTTTATATATATTAAATATTTTTAAATAGTTAACTTTACTAGGCAGAGACATAGTAATAGTTAATATTTTGTTAAGTTAATGCATATAAGAAATATATCTAATTATATTTTTGTTCTCAATAACATTGACAAAGAATGTTCGATTAATAGTAATATTATTTATTTTTTTGTACTGGTACAAATCAAAATTTAGGGTTAGTTAGGGGATGTTATAAAAAAGTACACTTTTTGACTTATTGGCTTATATGGGTTGGGTTTGGTTTGGGTTTGATGTGATGTGTTAGAGAGGTGATGTGATTTAAATAAGATGATGTGACTTAAATAGGATAGTGACTTTTTGACTTTTTGTATTATTTAGGTTATGCCAAATTTGACCTTAGAATTTGATAATAATTTTTTTGATGAAAAGTTACATGCGTTTCACTCCTTCCAAAGCTCAAACCTTAGATCTGTCCGTGACACTCACTTTGTTTGGAAATGAGCTAAGATCTATAGAAATGGTTTTGTCATTTGGTCATGGATGGAAATTTTACTATTAGAACGTAGCTTATTCTATAGTTAGTTTCTTTAGTTGAATGACACAATCATTTGTTTCTCTTTTTTCTCTTTTCTTTGTCAAGGATTATTATTATTATTATTTTTTTGGTCTCAATAACCAAATGAAAAAAAATCCAATCATATCTTATTTCATTCATTTAAACATTTTAGTTGTAAAAATTATTTGTCATATATGCAGACTACAAGAGGAGAGACAGAGATAGAGTGATATTCCATAACCATTCCTACAAATGTTATAACTACCACTAACAAAAGTTTTATTTTCAGGTTGCATTACCTAGCTTGAAGGAGCTAGAACTCAAGGATCTTGACAATTTGGAAGGGCTGGGACACATTCCTATTTCAGTGGGTTCCTTTTCTAAACTTAGAAAAGTACACGTACAACACTCTGGCAAATTGCTCTATGTTTTTCCATCACAATTTCTCACAAGGTTGCGAAATCTTGAAGATCTAACTATAGAACATTGCAGTTTAATAGAGAAGGTGTTTGAATTGGAAATGGTGGACTGTAAGGAGCAAGAATTGGAGATGCTTTCACTTTTGAAATCTCTAAAATTAAAGCATCTACCCAAACTGGATTATATTTCAAAGAAAGATCCCATTGGATTTATGTACATTTCACAATTAAGTATTCTACATGTTCATGACTGTGATAACTTGAGATATCTATTTCCACATTCTATGATGAAGTGTATCTTACAACTCCAAGAATTGGACATAAGGAGATGTAAAATGATGTCAAGGATTGTTGCAGATGAGAAAGGGCAGGACAAAAGCTCGGTGGATAAAATTAAGTTCACTCAATTGAAAATTTTGATACTCTATGATCTACCGAACCTTGTGAGTTTCTTTCCCAAAGTGATTGCTACTTCGGCTACATCAACAGAATGCCTCCAAAATGTCATGCAAACTCAATTCAATGAGAAGGTAAAATGAAGAAGTAGAATACTGGTGAAACCAAAGCTACTTACCTTTTACAATGATTTGTATGATTTTTATTTTTTTTTGTTTTTGTTTTGGTTCAAGTGACAAAATGAAATGGGCAACCATATCTTATTCCAATAATTTGAAATTCAAGGTTAAAAAAGTTCTAGTTAACACATACAAAGTACGGAGAGGTATATATCTCATAACCATTCCTACTACCATTATTCTACAACTAAAAGAATGAGTTCTTTTCAGGTTGTATTCCCCACTTTGGAGGTGCTACAACTTGAGCAACTTGACAATCTAGAAGGGATGGGACACTGTCCACCTTCATCGATGTCGTTGTCCAAGCTTAGATATGTGCAGATACGACACTACGGCAAATTGCCCAAAGTTTTTCAAGCACAATTGCTTACGAGGCTGCAAAACGTTGAACAACTATCTATCGAGGATTGAAGTTTGCTAGAGAAAGTGTTTGAATTGGAAGTGGCTGACTGTACAGAACACAACTCAAAGATATTCTCGTTATTGAAATCTCTCAAATTAAAAAGTCTACCCCAATTGAACCTTATTTCAGAGAGAGATTCCATTGGATTTATGTACATTCCACCATTAAGTATTCTACATAATGATGGTTGCGACAACTTGAGATTTCTATTCACATAGTTCATGATGCAGTGTATCCTACAACTCCAAGAATTGGAAATAAGGGGACGTAAAATGATATCAGCAATTGTAAGGGAGGAGGATAGCCGGGGTGAAATTTTGGTGGATAATATTGAGTTCACTCAATTGAAAATTCTGCAACTTTATGATCTGCAAAACCTTGTGAGTATCTTCCCTAAAGTGACTACTACAGTGGCGACATCATTTGAACACATCCAGAACCCAGGACAAAGTCTCTTCGATGAAACGGTGAGTGGTAGAAGTTGAATGCTCTAATGACACTAGAGCAATAAATCTCCTTTTTAAACATTTTATGTTACTTTTAGTAGTATGGTTGTTAATGCAATTGTTTGGTTTGCAGGTTGTATTCCCTAGCTTGGAGGAATTAGAACTCCATAGATTTCAGAACATGAACGAAATATGGTGCAATCAACTTCAGCCCAACTCGTTCAACAAACTAATTAAATTGTATGTCTTTGATTGCGGCAGTTTGATAAATGTGTTCTCTCTTTTTATGGCCAGATATCTTGTGCATCTAAAAAGAGATCAAATATTTTGGTCTCTAAAACTGAAAATTTTGTTGCAAAAAACATTTAGGGACCAATATCTTTTGTCATGAGGATAGTCGCTAAAAGGTCGTCCTGAAATGTAAAAAATAAAGCTTTTAGCAACAAAATTTTAAAAATGTCACTAATAAATAGATTTTTAAGGACAAAATAATTAGGTTTCAAAATGATTTATTTTTTGAAACAAAAAATTTGGTCCCAAAAGAATAATAATTCATCACTAATGTATAATTTTTGTTGCTAAAAATATAATAATGACACTTTTTCGTAACAAAAATATTTGGTCCCTAAAAAATAACTTTATCCTTAAATTTTAGTTTCTAAAACCTCAATTTTTTGTAGTGAATAAATGCTCGATGATGGAAGAAGTAGTTGCAAAGGAGGAAGATGAAGAAGAAGGTGGAAGGATAAACAGAACTCCATTGCCCAAATTAGAGTATTTGGAACTCGAAGATCTACCAGAGCTCAAGAGTTTTTTCCACGTTACTCATGATTGGGAATTTCCTTTGGTAGAAAACATCACTGTCCTCAATTGCCCTAAAATGAAAACCTTCTCTCATGGAGTCATACGCACCCCAAAGTTGCAAGGTGTATTTGTGAAGCAGGGAAAGTACACGTGGTCCCCAGGTAGAGAAGGAGAAGACATGGATAAACGACCTCAATCAAACCATATTGCACCTAATTAAAAAGGTATGTCGTTTATATGAATACTTTTGTTTCTCGCTCTCTTTTTCTTCCATTAAGTGTGTAACGCCTCCAAAATAATTACAATGATCACACTCTAAACAGTAGTATAAGGTAACATAAATAAGATGTGAAGCTTTCATTAATCAGAGTTCAATTACAAGAGATGACACATGCGATATACATTCATAAGCTCTACCTTGAATCTATAGTATATGATACCAAGTAAACTCTTAACAAAATAAATGCCCTATAGGCTTACAGTTTTCCAAGACTATGCTTGGTTACAATAAAAGAGGGAGTCTTAAGCTCTATACATCTAAAGCCCTAGGCTTGTACAAATATCAAATACAAAACAACTAAGCGGAGCCCTCAGCTCACAAGTCCTCCCAAGCTAAGTCCTTGGAGGAGGCATGTCACAAGCACCTAAAAATAATTTTCCCAAGTAGGGTGAGCCAAAGCCCAATAAGAATAATCTAACACAATATATGAATCTAAACAAAGATATAAGTGCAATATGCATATACAATGTCTGTAACAAAATATTCATATTCTGTATGATCACAAAGTACCAAGTTTCATACCTCAATCCATTTTCCTTCATTTCATTTCAAGTTAATTCATTTCTTCTCAATTCATGAGCAAATTTTATTATCTTTCAGACAATCCAAATGAGACTAAATTTCAGTGGTTCTCAAATCAACACAATTATCACACAAACACTTCAATTTGCCATTTTAGAAAAATTTCGTCTGCGGGATCGGCACCCATGTATATGCGCGGTTTCAGGACTTTCACTTTGGACACACAAGCCAACTTAATTTCAATGGAGTCCATCCCCTATCTCCTCCCAAACATGGAGTACATCCCCTTTCTCCTCCTAAACATCATATATATACAATGTATTTAAAACATATTCATTTTTAATGACAACAAATAAAAGATTAGTTTCAATTCACCTAATCTACATGCAATGTCTACAACAACCATAGTTATCCTCTACCGATAGCCCAATACAGATATTTCTGAACAAATATTCAATCTCAAGACAAATAAGGTATCTAAACTTCCTAGGGTGAGTGATAATACATAACCAACTCCACTATCCATATAAATATCCATCCAATTTCACATTTACAATACCAATTCCATTTATTTATACAAAATAAATATTTGAATCATTTTAGGGCAATTTCTCATTTTTCCTAAATATCAACCCACTTGCCAAAATCAACTATTTTGTTACAATACACCCTCATATTCAATCCCATAGCCATTTATAATATATTCATTTAAAACCCCTCTTTTGGTCTTGCACCCAAACACTAGGTTTGTCCATAATGCCCCAAATTTATGCCATTGTTACACAGCCATCAATGACCAAGTTAAAACCTATAAGAAAGTGTAGGAAATCCCTACCTCAAAGAGAGAAGATGAGCCAAGCAAGGGTGACACTCCAAAGACGCTCAAACCCTACTCTATTCGAATCAAAATGGAGATCTTGAGATGTTCTACCTTTTTTTATCAAAGGGAGTAGGGTAGAGAGATCTTTAGATCCTAGTGGATTTGCAAGTCAAATTTTAGAGAGAGAGAGGGAGCTGGTTTAGGGTTTTTGAGTGAAAAGATATCAAAAAGTGATGCAAAAAGGTGTTGCAGCAAACTGATATACGCGAGGCTTGCTTGAGCGCAAGAGTTGTTGCTCGAGCGACTAGACACAATAAGTCACCTCGCTCAAGCGCAAGAAGGGTCGCTTGAGCGCAGAATACAAACTCCCAAAATTTTTTCAGACAGAGACCATCGCTCGAGCACAAAAAGTCTCACTCGAGCGGAGAACAACACCCACCTAGTATCTTTGCAGGCCTGCAAAAGTACTGGGAGATCACAAAGTTGGCTCAAGCATAGGAAGCCAAAATCTGGGCAGCAACAATTTGGACCAACTAGTAACCAACCTGTTCCAAACACACCCGAGGCACTCCAACACTCAAACTCAAAGGGGAAATGAGGGAAAAGACAGGAATAACAATATTAAACCACGAAACTCGAGTCCGAAATACAACAAAGGTCGGGTCAAAATCGGAATCGCTATAAAGTGCATAAGCCACATTTTAACGTCCAAGTATCCAAAAAGGAAAACAAGCTCCAGACAGTTGAGAAATAAGTATTTTAAAACTATCAAACCATGATTTTTTCAAAAATTAAAATTTTGTTTACCATATTGCTAAATTTGCAATTAAAAGAAGTATCAAATAAATATATCTAAAGCACATTTTATATAAAATTTTCTTCCTTTCAATTATGAAAGATCAAAAGTTCATTCTTTCTAAAGTATGAAAGTTTTTTTTAAATTGTGTTTGGATCATAAATTTAGATAGCGATTTAAAAAAAAAAGAAAGAGAAAATGTGAATAAAATATAATTACATTTCACACATTTTTTCTTTTTTCCTTTCTATATTTCTATTCAAATCTATGATTCAAACACAACCATAAAAATTCAAAAATTTTGGATTTATTGTATAGGGCTATTAATTATTGTGCTATTTAATATATCACTGGTGAGCATTACTCTTAAAATTATTATTTAAATTCATGATTAATGATGGTACACCTGAAGTGTATCCAACAATTCACTATAGTTTATAGGAAAGTCAAAATAACAAGGACTAAATTGACACATTCTATAAACTACAAGGACTAAATTGAAATATCATTTGATTTCTGTCCATCAAATTTAACCGTCGTTATTTATTGGACTAATATGACACAATTCGTAAAATTAAGGGACAAAATTGATTAAATTGAAACAACATGAATCAAAATAAGAAAAGATAAATTATAGGTACTACTGTTGTAATCTGTCCAAAAACAAATTGTGAGTGAGAGAGAGAGAGAGAGAGAGAGAGCGAGCTGAGTTTCTGTGGTTCAAAAGAAGGAAAAGAAATGAATGAAGGTTGATGGAATGGAGGCAGCCTGGTAGGCCCCCACGTGGGCTTGCTTCATTTATTATTATTTTATTTTATTTATATCCATCTCTCTGTATATATATATATATATATATATATATATTAAAAGTACAATTAGCAACATTATAAGATTTTGTAACTTAATTTATAAAATGATATTATTGTTTCCTCACCACAAAATATATTTCATTTGATGGTACACATCATAAATATTCACAACTCCCAGGTAGTAAAATAAATAATAACGATAATAATAATAACAACAACAACAATAATAGGTAGTTACAAACGAGTCGTGATTCAATCAATTAGATCCAAAATGAATCAAATTTAATAATCTAGAATAAATCTCCAACTGAGATTAAACCCACCATTAACATAATCAAATATGAATTAAAACAATATAGTTTAGGTTAATTAAATGAAATCCCAAAAATTAAATTTATATCCACATTTCAATACTCAAGACCCAAGAATAATTAAAATTAAAACTAAAACATAAAAAAATTGCCAAACAGGCCTTACGAAGTTGAAATCAAGAAGTAATGTAATTTATTTTCACCAATTTAAATAGAATGGCCCATGACACCACAACTATAATAATAATTACACAATCAAACAATTTGGAAATTCATACCAATCCAACTCCAATCAATACCTGAGCCCACAAATATATTAAAAAAATTACTAAATAGGTGCTGAAAAGAATAATAAATAAATAAATAAATTCAATTTGATTCAACTCGTTACAATCTTTCCCCCTTAAGGAATTTCGCCCCCCAAATTCACTCTCGAAATTCGCCTTGATAAAAAAAAAATGAGATTTACTCTTAACATAATTACTTGAGCCTTAAAATCTTAATAACCATTTTCTCATTAAGACATTCCTTTAATACCCCAAACACATACTAAGCTCACTCTCAAGAATTTAACGCTCTCTTACCTCCCATTGTAAAAGACACAGTAACCAAAATCGAAACTCTCAGTCTCACTTTAATCAAGAGCTATAAACATAACAATAACTCCTCAATGATGGTACTACTTATAGCTTGCATCAAACAATAATGACGAACAGTCTAATCCAATCAACCTAACTATTGGAGTAACATTTCTTTCTAATTACATCCACAAAATTATTTTACCAATTTGAAGTAACGAATTTTCAATAGACCCAAAAATAAAATTTCTACACCACTAGCTATCCATAATATTAAGATACACTGCTCTATAGAAGCCACCCCTCAACTTAAAACCAACGTACTAGAATTTCAACCAACAATCCGTAATAAAAAGGGAACATATATGTGACTTTTGCAACATATAAAGGGTTAATTAAAATCAATTAAACTCGCAATTGAAATACAACCGTACTCACCATCTCACTTGAACACAGTTGAAACACCTTCACAAAATTTACTCACTCCACACAACTACTTCAACATGTCACAGTAACAAAAGAATCCAACTATTTTAAAAAGCACTCAGAAAAGTATTCAAACGTTACAAACCATTAAAGATGACTCACCACAAATTATCTTTTCCATAATCTAGTGCAACAATCTACTTAAAATCAATCCAAAGTGATTATCTCAAGACTTTTAACTAATGAGAACACCCTCCCTTTAAAGATACACTTCAATAATATATTTTGTAACTTCTATTAGCACACGACAACTAATACATCTCAACATTAAACCAAATCCGCACTCGGTTACCAATTTGAAACTAAACTAATACAAATAATAACTTGAAATATTTCATCTCATAAGAACCTCCATTCATTTCCTAATACAATCATATTCATTTTAAATTACTTTATACAAAGTAGAATTCACGAATCACCATAGTCTCAACGATCCACCTATAACCATAAGAAATACATACACTCACAAAATATAATACAACCACGCCAAACACACTACTCGAAAATTCTAAGCCATAACCTTAATTGCCTAACCAAGCAATATTATTATTATTATTTTTAAAGGTTTATCTATCTCTTTCACTCGACGAATCGACTAATAGTTTATGCAAAATTGTCTACA